CTGATGAGTATATTGTAAGAGTATACAGTGGGGACAATGGTGGGGTGTGAGGCCAGGATATGCTGGAACGCGGTGGCGAGTGCGTCGAAGTCGCTGGCGTCGACGTAGGCGGCGAGGAGGGCATTGAAGGTCATGTGGGACTTGTGCTTCGGTGGAAGGTCATGGAAGATCGCGGCGGCGTGGGACGGCATGGAGGCGCGGCCACAGAGGCGGATGAGGCGCGCGGCGAAGCCCACGTTGGACGCCTCGATGAACGGCTTCTGTGAGTCGATGATGGCCGCAATGGCGTCGTGGCGGCCGAAGGAGACGAGGCGGAACACGGCCACCTCGTACACGCGGTGCTTATCGCGGAAACGTTCAGACGCGGTCGATTCGGCGATGAACCGGGACACCAGCTTGTCCGGATCGCGCTCCCGGAAGATGACCTTCAGGATTTTGTTGAGATCCCGGGACTCGCGGCGCTCGTCGGGTTTCGAACCCGACTGGCCGGCTGGCGCTTTCGGAGCCTGCGTGGGCTCGGGCGCCGGTTTGGGTGGTCGGGCGCGTGGCTTGGTCGACGAGAAGATGCTGGCGAGGCGGCGCGCGGGGGAGGCGGCGGCAGGGGAGGCCATGGCAATGGGGAGGGGGCAACGCGACGGCGGGGTGGGGTTTGCGGTTGCGGCTAGCCGACTGGCCGACTGGCCACTGTGGTGAGAGAGTCGGAGGGTTTCGCTTTTGCTGCACAAGTGCACATCCAACTTGGGCCGTGAACTTTTGCAGCCCAGCGCACAACCCAGCTGGACCACGCTGCTCATTGCTACAGAGCCCATCAACGAGAAGATGCTGTAGAGGAGGCGGCAGGGACGCCACGTGCCATGGCAATGGGGGCGCAACGTGAGTAACATTTTTATTTTTAAATCCTATTTTAATTTTATCATCACACTATAAAAGAGCGAGTTTTTATGAGGGGATGTCCCGCTATAATAATCGTTCGATCTATACGCCATGCTATATGAGCCCTTCGTCACGTGTGATCCTACTTTTTCTCTGTAATAACCGTTCCATCTACACGTCATGCTACATGAGTCTTTCGTCATCCGTGATCTTACAAGTAAGATGTAAGACTTTTATTCAATCTCAAATATGAATTCTCGTAGACATATTAAAATCACGAATAATTTCTTATTTCGGCCCTTTTCCTAACTTTTGTTATTCTTTTTTTTGCCTTTGTGGCGTCTGTTCACCCACCCGCGTCCAACTCACCTAACTATCGTTAATAACTGTGCCCCATGTCTATACGTCGCTGATGTGCTTCACCAAGTCCAAACAAATCTGAACATGTGCAGGTAACGATGCCACTGGATAACCAGGCCTTATTTAGATGCCATCCAAATTTTAAGTTTTTTCACTCTCTCTTCATTACATTAATTTTTAGCTGTTTGCATGGAGTATTAAATGTAGGTAAAAAAATAACTAATTACACAGTTTAGTTGGAAATCACGAGATGAATTTTTTGAACCTAGTTGGTCCACGATTGAACAATATTTACCAAATAAGACGAAAATGGTACTAGTCATTAGGTTCACTTTTTTTGCAAAGTGAACGAGGCCCCATTGTCCATACCGATACTGTTTGGGGTGTGGGGGGTGTGTGTGTGTATGGATTATCCATTTGATTGTGGGTATGGGTAGGAATGTAGGATAATGGAGGTATTATCCATTTAATCTCAGCATATTCGTTGGTTAGTTTCAGTCAGGACTTATCAGTTAATAAATAATATTTTTCTTTCATAACAAAACAGTACCAACCGAGCTTCAGCCTGTTCGGTTGGCTGGTTCATTTCGTTGCTGGTTCGTGACTGCGCACGGGAGCGAACGAGTGCCTACAGGCTGCAGCACCGACCGGGGCTGTGGTCACAGCAGTGCCGGCGGAGGGCGATGCTGCAAACGAGAGTTACCTGTCGACGGGAGAAGAAAGAAAATATCCCAGCAAAAATCTCTTACCCATTGGATAATCCACATCCAATGGACATTCAGCCTATTCGTTTCGGCTGAAACGATCGTGAATTATTATTGTTGGCTGGTTTGGTGTGAAAGAAAAATAGTGTTCTGGTTTATAATCCACGATCGTTTACGACCAAACGAACAGACTGATTACTCTTTATGGGTAATCGAGGATGGATAATTAACGGATATGGGTACGGTTGACCCTGAAGCTTCCCCACCGGCATCGTTATGTGCAGGCATCGCATAGAACGGAGCCGGGAGATACAAGGACTCGATATCACACGGTAAAAAGATGGATTCCGTAACCATCCCCTTAGTCATACAAGCATGCGGATGATGGAAGGAGTCGACAGGAAAATGATAAAAGGATTCTGTAGCGCCTCCCAGTCATATGAGGATGTGGATTTATATTCATATCTATAATATTATCTTTATCATTTATTTTTACCTATAATTAATTAAAGAGCCAATAATAATTTTTTTCTTTCCAAGAGAGAAAGGGATAGAGCCTGATGGCATACAATGATAGATTAGAATTACGTATTTTTATGAGTCTTTATTCAAAACTTACAGAACTTGATATTTAACTATAGCAATACATCGATAAGTATATAAAAATTAAAATTATGATATATTAACGTCTAAATATTTCTATGCTTTGTAAGAGGATAAAAAATCTATCAAAGTTGTATTTTAACTCGATACAGGGTTAATAGAACATTACTATGCTATTGCCAATGTTGTCGTCATAAAATAAATTATAGATTTTAAATTTTATAAAAAAGGATAAAAACATAAATAGGTATGTATCATTTTTGTCATTGTTTCTTATCGACATTCGATAGTTTTTTTACTCCCGTGCATCGCACGGGCATATTTGCTAGTTTTAAAAAAGCTCCACTTATTTCATTTTTTTAACCTTTTTAATCGTGCCAACGCGTCGCTTGGTGCGATAAAAGCACACTGTCACGCTACATGCGTTGGAGCCGCAAAATCTACCAATTGGATGGCGATTTTAACTTGAAAACCTTGTCATGGCATGTTTTATGGCGCCAACGTTAGTTGCGTGACAAAGCTCAATCTTAGAAAATCATATCTTTTCTATATAACATTGGAAAAAATGATTTTTAAATAAAAATTGTAAACCTTGACTAGTCTATAACTTTCTCATTTTGAGTTTTTTTTCACTTGAGGTCGTTAAAAATTCTAAAAAAATAATATAAAGTTTCAACAATATAATAATAATCACGTACACGTGCTTATTGTCTTAGAAAAATAATATCTTTTTATATGATATCCAATGAAGATACTTTATATACAAAAGTTATAGCTCTTAATGAGATCTACAATTGTAGTTTTGAGTTATAAATTTGAGGTCGTTACGATGCTAAAAAATAATATAAAATTTCATCAACATATTAATAGTGTACCAAAATCATATGTTTTTTGTATGGGATGAAACGAAAATAGTTTTTATTTTGAAGTGTAGTTATCGACGAGATCTATAAAATTTTTAGTTTTGAGATTTCTTATATGATATAGTTAATATGCTCAAAAAATAGTTTAAATTTAAAAAAAACATATTAATCACCTACAAAATTTTTAGTTTTGAGATTCCTCATATGATATATTTAAAATGCTCAAAAAATAGTATAAATTTAAAAAAAATATTAATTGCCTAACAGGTTTTTTTCTTAGAAGAATAATATCTTTTTTATATGATGTCAGATAAAGATAATTTTAAATCAAAAGGTGTAGATTTATCGTGAGCTACACATTTCAATAAAAAGTATATTTATCTAACATCGTATTAGAAAAATATAATTTTTTCTAAAAAAAACTAGCCCTAGTACGCGATTAATATGTTCTTAAAATTTATATTATTTTTTGAGCATCTTAATGATCTCAAATAAAAAAACTAAAAACTGTAGATCTCATCGATAGCTACAACTTTAGTATAAAAACTATTTTGATTTGACGCCATACAAGAAAATTATGATTTTGGTACTGTATTAATATGCTGATGAAAAACTTTATATTATTTTTAGCATATTAAATATCTCAACTGTAAAAACTCAAAACTACAAAGTTGTATATCTCATCAGAAAGTATAACTTTCAGAAAAAAGTTGACATCATACAAAATCATATTATTTTTTTAAGACGACAAGCACATGTCAACAATTATTTTGCTGTTGAAACATTATATTATTTTTTAGAGCATCTCATCGATCTTAAATGAAAAAAAAAATAAAAAATAAAAAGTTGTAGATCTCATCGAGATATAGAATGCTCATATAAAATCATCTTCATCTGATGTCGTATGGAAAATATATTTTTTTCTAAGATTGAGCCTTCTCACGTCACTCCCGTTGATGCCATAAAACACTACTGTCACGCCAACCAGAATGACGTGGCAAGGATTTCCACGTCGAAATGAATCAATCTGAATCAATCCTGCTTGGCAGATCTCGCCGTGCCAACGCAGGCGCGTTAGCATGACAAAAGAGCGAAAATAAAAAAACGTGAAGCTATTTGAAAATAAAATTTTAAAAAAGATTAAAAAAATAAAAATATTCCGCAACGTGACAGGAACTGTGGGGCTTGCTTGCGACTTCTAGGTCATCTCCCCACGACCCCCCTCACCGACCGCGACAGCGGCAACTGAACTGTTCGTGGGGATCGTTGTGGAGAGTGGAGACCGTGGCCACAGCCCACACTCCCACAGACAATCTACACGTACCTCGTGCTCTCTAGCGCCCTTCTTTTTTTTGCGACTTGAAGCTTCAATCAATCAGGAAACAGCACGGTTACAATCTTCAGTCAGCAGATCGGCAATGCAGGATGGGGCTAACTGCGACCCACCCACCCTGTTGCTATCTGAGATTTGCTTTGCTAGAGTATGGGCTACACGATTACAAACTTTATTAGCATACACCAGAGAACAATCAACAAAAGAAATACTAAGCTCTCTTATTTCTCTGATGATCGGTGAAATGCAAGACCTCTGACTTTCTCACATCTCCCAAAGCTTCAACAATTCTTGGCTGTCTGTTTTCATCTGCAGTCGGTGGACATTTAACTCCCTAGCCAGAATCATGCCATCCCTACACGCTTCAGCTTCCATTGACAAGGCGTTCAATCCATGCTGATGCCAGCGTGCTCTACCTCCTTTGTAAGTTCCTGTATGATCCCGGAGCACTACCCCGGTTGCACCCTGTCCCTGGTCTGCATCAAAAGCGCCATCAACATTGCATTTCACCCAGCCGACAGGTGGCATGCTCCATTTCTTGATAACAAATGCACCCTTTTGTCGTGATTCAGTGAGCAATTGGCATAGATCATGAGCAGTGTCTACAGACCACTATACCAGCTTCCTCAATGGGGCGATCGACACCATGCCAAAGTTTGTTTCTTTACAGCCACAGAGCATACATCCCAATGCAGAAGACGCTGCGGTCATGCTCAGAACAGAACTCTGGTTTCAGTATGTCGCTCGCCCAGGTGTGAGGGTGGAGTCGTGGTAGTTTAGCTCCAGACAGAGACCTCATCTCCTGCCAAAAAATTCTAGCAACTGTGCATTTAGTTAGAGTATGTTTAATAGACCCCCTATCAGCTCCACAGATCTCACAAAAAGCTCGTGGGTTCAATGTGCCTTCGGTGGAGGACATCCTTTGTTGGGATAAATTCATGGAGGACTCCACCAGAAGACCTTCACTTTCAGAGGAACTTGCAACTTCCAAATACGTTTACAGGATTCATCACCCGAAGCACTAGCTTGGAAGGTTTGGGGTGCAGCCAACTTCCTTTAAGCTGACTTGACTGTATATTCACCATGCTTCTCCGGCTCCCAAGCTCACCAGTCCTCCTCTTGTGGTCGCACAGGGTTCCGAAGAATAGCTCGAGCATCAATGGGTAGGAAGATGGACTTAATAAGATCTTTATTCCATCGTCCAGCCTCTATCATTAGCTCCGACACACGGCTCACTTCGTGACCTGCATTAGGTGTAATCGGCCGCGCATCAAAATGCATTGGAATAAAATGATCATTCCAAATATGTGTCGAGCTGCCATCACCAATTCGCTTGATCAATCCCCTTTCTAGGACTTCTCTACCAGCGAGTATCGATCTCCATGTGTGACTAGCATGCTTCTTCCGCGTACTACACAAGAAGTTTCCATCATGGAAATAACGGACCTTGAGTACTTTGGCACACAGGCTATCAGGCCGGGTGAAAAGCCTCCACCCTTGCTTCCCCAACATAGCCTTGTTGAACAAATGCAAATCACGGAATCCCATGCCTCCTTCTGATTTGTGCCGTGTCAAACCGTCCCAACGTAACCAGTGAATATGATGCTTATCTCCGGATCCTCCCCACCAATAGTTCGCAATGGTGGCTCTCATTTTCTTACAGGTGGTTTTGGAAAGCAAGAAGCAACTCATACAATAGGTTGGCATAGCTTGCGCCACTGATTTTAGAAGAACTTCTCTCCCAGTGCTGCTAGCTTCCCTGCCACTCTGGGAGCCCACTAGCCCCTTGACTTCGGACAGCAAAAATTCAAAAGCTTCAGTAGTTGATCGGCCCAAAGTTGTTGGGAGGTCGAGGTATCTATAAGATAGAGCTTCAGTGTCAATTTGTAGCTCGGACCTGACCACCTCCTTCACCCCCTCCAAACAATTTTTACTGAAGAAGACAGCCGATTTCTCTCTGTTCACTTGCTGCCTGATCCTCGACTATAGATGTCTAGGATATGTTGAAGTCTAGCTGCCCCTCTCTGTGATGCTTCTGAGAACACGATGCAATAGTCCACAAAGAAAAGATGTGATACCCATGGAGCGTGGATACCCATGCGAACACCTCTGGATAATTGCACTGGACTAATGGACTTCAAAGGCAGGACAACCCTTCAGCGCACATAGGGATGAAAATGGATCGGATACGAACGGATATCACTTATATTATATTTATTTTCATATTTCTGTTCGGATTCGGATTCGGACACGGATAGCGTTCGGATACATATACGAATACGGATTGACTCGGTTACGGATACGAATAATGAGTATCGAATACGGTATGAATCGGATTCGGAGAAGGTCGGATACAAATATCTATTCGGATATTGAGTAAAAGCAATATATATATATATATATATATATATATATATATATATATATATATATATATATATCATACGTGCGCAAACCATTACACCACTCTATGAGTCCATAATCCATCTAGATTAAGCCGAAAGACTAAAGAGTAAAGCAACAAATAAGATAAAGATACAGATACATCATACATCAAACATCATACAAGCACCAATCTTCGCGGCATGAGTAGAAATAGCCAAGCTCATGGCTTCATGGGTCTTATGGAGTCATGGTCATGGATTCAAGATCTACAATCCTTATATAGGCCATTTTTTCATTTGAGAAAGTTTGAACAAAATGTAGTTTAAATTTCACAAGTGTGTGACATAGTTTTAGAAAGTCTGTATGAGATTCAAGAATTTATGACTAGTGTTTGATAAAACTTTCTCAAATGGGAAACTGAGCTATGTAACAATTGTAGATCTTGCTGAGATGATCAAACTTGGTATTCAGAGTTTTTTCATCTGAGGTCATTTAGTGTCTCATTTGAGCAAGTTTGACCAAGTCAAATTTGGTCAAATGAAAAAACAACACTTTGACTCTAGTATTATGAACTCTAAATGACTTCAAATTGAAAAGTTTTCAATACCAAGTTTGTTCAACTCATCAAGATCTACAATTCTTGTTTTGGTCAACTTTCCATTTGAGATAGTTTGGACGGTTTAAATTTGTGATTTTTAAATTTCGATGCTTACAAACTAGTTTTCGGAACCCTAGATTGTCTCAAATTGAAAAGTTTTGAATACCAAGTTTGTTCAGCTCATCAAGATCTACAATCCTTATATAGGTTATTTTTTCATTTTAGAAATTTTGAACAAAATATAGTTCAAATTTCACAAGTGTGTGACATAGTTTCAGAAAGTTTATGAGATTCAAGAATTTGTGACTAGTGTTTGATAAAACTTTCTCAAATGGGAAAATGAGATATGTAACAATTGTATATCTTGCTGAGATAATCAAACTTGGTATTCAGAGTTTTTTCATCTGAGGTCATTTAGTGTCTCATTTAAGCAAGTTTGACCAAGTCAAATTTGGTCAAATGAAAAAACAACACTTTGACTCTAGTATTATGAACTCTAAATGACTTCAAATTGAAAAGTTTTGAATACCAAGTTTGTTCAACTCATCAAGATCTACAATTGTTGTTTTGGTCAACTTTCCATTTGAGATAGTTTGAACGGTTAAAATTTGTGATTTTTAAATTTCGACGTTTACAAACTAGTTTTCGGAACCCTAGATTGTCTCAAATTGAAAAGTTTTGAATACCAAATTTGTTCATATAATCAAGATCTACAATCCTTATATAGGCCATTTTTTCATTTGAGAAAGTTTGAATAAAATATAGTTCAAATTTCACAAGTGTGTGACATAGTTTCAGAAAGTCTATATGAGATTCAAGAATTTGTGATTAGTGTTTGATAAAACTTTCTCAAATGGGAAAATGAGCTATGTAACAATTGTAGATCTTGATAAGATGATCAAACTTAGTATTCAGAGTTTTTTCATCTGAGGTCATTTAGTGTCTCATTTGAGCAAGTTTGACCAAGTCAAATTTGGTCAAATGAAAAAACAATACTTTGACTCTAGTATTATGAACTCTAAATGACTTTAAATTGAAAAGTTTTGAATACCAAGTTTGTTCAACTCATCAAGATCTACAATTATTGTTCTGGTCAACTTTCCATTTGAGATAGTTTGGATGGTTCAAATTTGTGATTTTTAAATTTTGACGTCTATAAACTAGTTTTCCATTTGAGAAAGTTTGGACGGTTTAAATTTTGAAGCACTAAATGATTTCAAACGAAAAAGTTGTAAACAACAAAGTTTCATAACTTTTTGAGATCTACAATTTTTATTTTGATCATTTCTCCATCCAAGGTCGTTTGAATAATATCCGGATAATATCCGTTTTTAAATATCCGGATATATCCGATACTTAACCGGATTATCCGATATCCGCCGGATATCGATGATATTACATCCGTATTTGATATCCGCCTAAGATATCCATTTTAGTATCCGTATCCGAAAAAATTACGGATATCCGAGTAACTATCCAGATAAGTGTTCATATTTGTTCAGTCGAACGGACGGTCGAATAAATATCCGTACCGTTTTCATCCATAAGCGCACAGCAAGAAAAGGTACGGTGAGATCGGGTCCCCCTGCCGTATACCCCTTGATGGGCTGAAAACACTGGACAAAACTCCATTAATCTTAATAGAAAACGAAACCGACGTCACGCACCTCATCACAAGAGAGAGAAATGTCTCATTGAAATCTAGTTTTAGCATGATCACTCATAAATAATCCCATTCAATACGGTCGTACTCTTTTGCCATATCAAGTTTTATTGCGCAGGCACCTGATTTCCCTTTCTTTCTCTGAAGGTAGTGTGTGCACTCATAAGCTACTAGGACATTGTCAGTTATGAGCCTTCCTGGGACAAATGCACTTTGTTCCTCTGCCACGACATCATCAAGAAATAGTCTTAGGCAATTGAAAGCTCTAGTTTGGTTTTGATGAATTGATAAAACCCTAAGTGCTAACCTAGTTTATCAAAGTGATTATGAGATAAGTAACACTACTCCAAGTGGTGAAGCAGATGAAGATCATGACATGATGATGGTGTTGCCATGGTGATGATCAAATGCTTGGACTTAGAAAAGAAGTAAAAGAAAAATAAAAGGCTCAAGGCAAAGGTATAAGTGGTAGGAGCCTTTTTCATTTCGGTGATCAAGACACTTAGCGAGTGTGATCACATTTAGATTCGATAGCCGTACTATTAAGAGGGGTGAAACTCGTATCGAAATGCGGTTATCAAAGTGCCACTAGATGCTCTAACTCATTGCATTTACATTTAAGATCTAGTGGAGTGCTAACACCCTTGAAAATGTTTATGAAAATATGCTAACACATGTGCACAATGTGATACACTTGGTGGTTGGCATATTTAAGCAAGGGTGAAGAAGATAGAGTTGAAAAGGAGTTAGTCGCGCTGGTCACAGAGTGATCGGACGCATCCGGTATGGCGACCGAACACGTCTGATATTAACGATCGGACTCTGGCTCAGTGGAGCAACCGAATGCTGAGGAGTTACCGTTCAGCATCCAGTCAATGTGAG